TTACGCTATTGTAAAACGCTTTAGTGGTCAGACGCAATTGTAAAACGCTTTAGTGAACAGGCTGTTGACACAGCTGTAAACGATATCAGTGAGATGGAACTTGATTTAAAACAGAAATATTTGAACAGTTTAACTGTGTGCAGTTTAATATTGCCTTGTTTTATCACTTATTAAAAAGTTGACTTTCGTTAATTGTGTTTTGATTTGTAACCTGAATAAGCACCTGAAAAAAGTTAAGTTAAAAGTTTTTATGAGTATTATTATAGTTCGTCGGTAATACTTTCTCTTTTTAAGGTTTTAAAATACAATTTTCTCATTTAAAGTGCAGTATACTGCACTTTATATGAGAAAATTGTATTTTAATACTCCATATTCCATAATATTCCATACTAGTATGGAATAGTCTTGCATAAGTGACTTGTATATTATAAGTTATTATATAAGTATTATTTATACTATTAACATTAGTACTGTTCTATTAATAATGATGAATTTGTTTCAACAAAAAATTAATTAAAGCACTTAATTGTTTTATCGAAACTAAATTGTATTATCGAAACTATCTACGCGAAAATATGATTGAAACTTAGTAGGATCGGAATAAACCCAAGATAATTTTATAAGATCTTACAAATAAGATCTTACATTTCTTACAAATCTTATTAGTAAATCGCACGTAAACATTCGAATCTTAATAAGATCTTACTAGTTTTCTTGCACGTCTTCCAAGTTTTACAAACCTTTCTAAGAATCTTATTAGGAAATCATATTAAGATTTGAAAGATTCGTCGCTCTGGATATCTATGAGTAGCATTGAGAAATTAAATTGCATGTACTATAATGCCACAACTCTTGACAACAAATTTGACGAATTTAAACTAATAATTGCAACTTACAATCCTAAAACAATTACCATTACGGAAACATGGGTTAAATCTACTCTATGCAAATTAGATGGTTATTGTTAATATAAAAAAGATTGATGCGATGGTCGTCAAGGTGGAGGTGAATGTATTTATATTGACAGCAAAAATACTTCATACGAACTTAATGATAACAGATTTACATTGAGTCAAATTGTCTGGGGTGTAATCAGTTCGGCAATAATTAATATCTTATTGGATGTATTTATAGACCTTATGACTTCACAAATATGATTGATATTAAAAATGTATTTAAAATTGCTAAAGAATATGTCAACCAAAAAGGTTATAAAGATCTAATCATAGTTAGTGATTTTAACTTTCCTGGAATAAGTTGGTCCAATGGTTCAATAAATTCAATTAAAGAATCGTCAGAAATTGAGCAAATTTTTTATTAAATTATAAATGACAATTACTTATATCAGCATGTTAACATATCAACATTTCAAACAACAAATAAATCTGCGGGTAATATTTTAGATTTAATATTCACTAATCAGTCAGCAAATATAAATGCCATCGATAGTAAATTTGTTTTAGAAAATATATTAAGGGGTCACTTGTTATTGTGCTTTGATTTTATTCTTAAAAATAAAACAATGAATAAAAATACAGAGGAAGAAAAAAATTTATAAAGAAAAGCAGACTATTATAGCATTAATGATTTCCTTACATGTGTCGATTAGATTCAGTGTTTTCATACCAAGAATGTTCAAGATGTATGATGAGTTAATTCATTATGCTAAGGAAGCGTCTAACTTATATGTTCCTATAAATAACTCAAGTTCATCATCAAAGAAACAATTCCTGAACAAAGAACTTATCGCACTCATTAGGGAAAAACAGAATTTAAGATACAGAAATTGTTCTAGTAAATAGAGAAATTTTCGTAACCAATATAAACAATTATCAAAAAGAGTGTCATTTGAAATTTCCATTGTAAGACAAAAATGCGAATCAATGATTGTGGAAAAAGCTAAAAAGAACCCAAAAGTATTATATAAATATATGAATTCACAACATTATGCAAGAAACTATATAAAAGCTCTGCGACAACCAAACGGTGAAATAACCGAGGATCCTGAAAAGATTACTGATCTTCTAAATATAAATTTTCAAAACGTTTTTGTCAAAGAAAATAAAAAATGCACTCCATTATTCAAAACAAGAATCAATGATACTAATTTCAATTTAACTCTTGAAGATATCCAATATGAAAAAATAATCTTGATCAAAACAAAGCCTACGATGTCGACAAGTTACATCCATCTATCTTAAAAAACTGTGCTACTGTTTTCGCTCTTCCTCTAAACACTAATTTTTATGGAGTCAATAGAAAAAGTCAACTTCCAAATCAATTTAATTCAGCAAATATAACTGCACTATATAAAAAGGTGACAAGACTGATTCTCAAAATTATAGACCTATACCACTTCCATGTATTACTTTCAAAATACTACAAGACATAATTAAAAATAAGTTTGAAAAATATCTTCATGAAAATAAAATTATAGCTAATCAACAGCATGGATTCGTTAAAAATAGTTCATGTACTACAAATTTGCTTGAAACTCTAGATTATATTACAAGAAATGTGGATCAAGGAATTCCTGAGGATGTAGTTTTACTTGACTTAAAAAAAGCATTTGATACAGTACCACATCTTTCTTATCTAATAGAAGGCAGAGAGTTATTATGGGAGTTTATGTCTCAACTTGGGCTGATGTGTATAGTGGAGTTCCTGATGGATCTGTATTAGGTCCATTAGTTTTCACACTTTATATAAATGATCTTCCTGAGTCTCTAAAAAATGTTAACCCTCACCCTTACCCTGATTTTAGAGTCTCTAAAAAAATATTTCAAAATTATATGCTGATGATACAAAAAACATGTCGATTAGTTCTTCTGATGAGTTGCGTAATAAACTACAATGTGATTTGCACTTTGCGTATGTTTGGACACAAGATTACTTTTTTTACTTTATTACAAAATACTTAATTTTAATATTGACAAATGTGTAGTTATACACTATAGCTATAAAAATAAGAGATACCCAATTTATATAAATGGTTGTAAACTCAACAAATCAGATTCAGAAAAGTATCTAGGAGTGATTTTTTCAGATAACTTGAAGTGGTAAAATCAAGTCTTATCGAGTGCAAGCAAGGCAAACCGCATGTTAGGTATAATGAAAAAATCTTTTGTTCAATTTAATGCAGAACTGCTAAAATCTCTATATCTTTCCTTTGTTCGACCACTCCTAGAGTTTGCTGTACCAATTTGGGCACCTTATCAAAAACAAGATATTGCAATTTTGGAAAAAATACAGCGTCGTGCCACTAAATCGGTACCTTCAAGCAATAAATTATGCTATGAAGATCGACTAGCTTGTCTTAAAATGCCCTCTCTAGTTAAAAGAAGACAACGTGGTGACATAATTCAATTGTTTAAAATTTTCAAAGGTTACGATAAAATTGAATTAAAAGAAAATAAGTCCTTAAAATGTAATTGTACTCGTGGCCATAACCTAAAGTATTCTAAAGAATTTTCTGTACATAATTATAGAAAAAATGTTTTACTAAATCGAGCCGCAAATTATTCGAATGGACTGCCAGAAAATGTTGTTAAAGCTAACTCAGTCAACTCATTTAAAGCAAGACTTGATCAATTGGAGTCAAACCACCACAAGACTCAGCTGTTTTAGAGTGTTTTAAAACCACACTCACTGGTAGCAATATAAGTCACAGCATAAATTAATACTAATACTAATACTTAAATAAGAAAAATATATATCAATTTTGCAAAGAATGTTTTTATTGCATTTATAGTAAAAAAAATCAGCCATGCTATGAAATTTTTGGATTGAAAAGTAAAATTGTATGTGCATTCAAATATTATATTGATGGTTAAGAGCACAAAGGGAATACGTCCACTAACCATTGTTTTGAGAAATCTGAATTTGAAAGTTTGAAAACATACAATAATTCATGATATTTATTATATATCATCTATTTGTTTTGTTAAAAATAAATAGGTCATATTAAGCTTTTTAAAAAACAAATATTAAGCTTCAACAGTCGATTGGTCGACTGTTGAAGCTTAATATTTGTACCATAGCAGCCTTATCACTTACTGAATGGCGCGCGCGCAATAACTCAAAATCGTAAAATGTTGAACATATTCCCTTTGTGCTCTTAACCATCGATATATTAATTATTTTATATTTCTTTAGACACTAAAATAAAACAGTTAGAAATGGTTTTTAAAATTTTATCAAAGAAGTTGCGATTTACTTTTGCAGTTTACAAAACAATATTTGCACTGCTAATATGCAACCTCCAATGTGAGTTAGTCTTTTGTCGGACACTGATGAGAATAAATATTTACATATTTTCATAAATAGAATATATTTACATAGTATAGATTTGCATTTGAACTATTTTTGTATAAATAGTTTTGTCGCAATTAGAATTAAAACAATTTCAGACAGTTATTGCTTAGTACAAATTAATTCAATATATTTTAAAGCAGCATTTTCATCAAGACTTTATTGCTTAATGCTCTATTAAATCGTTTATATATATATATATATATATATATATATATATATATATATATATATATATATATATATATATATATATATATATATATATATATATATATATATATATATATATATATATATATATATATATATATATATATATATATATTATATATATATATATATATATATATATATATATATATATATTGATGCACTGTATTAAGACAATTTGGCTGCTATTTTATAAATGTTTATATGAATTAAACATGAAATGACCCCCTGAAAATACTTTGCCTTGCTGTTATTCTTTTTAGTAACTTTACATCTTTTTATAACTTCATCTCAATATATTCATTTACATTTCAACTTTATTTATTTATTTTTATAAATTTCATTTAATTATTCACATTATACTTTTTTTAACAAAGTACTTATTTAGCCTAAATAAATAGCATTCAACATTAGACTTTGTTAGCGGTGTTACTTATAAGATGTAACGTCATGTTTGTTTTATTGTCATAGAAACCATTTGATTTAAAATTAAAATGGGGGAAGTTTCCGCTGAAAAGAACAGTGTGCAGAAAATGATTTAAAAATAATGTTTTAATGTAAATCATATGTCATGAACGCTCAAGAACGCGAGCATAGAAATCATGTTAATGATGTTTTTTCTACGCGTATCACAATTTATCGTAATGGTGATTTAAATTTTTATGGTAAAAAACTTGTAGTGAATAGAAAACACATAAGGACTTTTAACAGCTTTTTGGATGAAGTCACGCGTGATACCCAAGCTAAAGTTGCAGTACGTAGCATTAGAACTCCAAATCATGGAACTATAGTTGCAAATCTTGATAGAATAGAGAATGGTGGAGTTTATGTTGCAGTAGGATTAGAAAAATTTAAGCATTTGCCGTGAGTTGTTAAAACTTATAAAACTTATAAATAGATTTTTTTGGCTATATTGTTCACGATCAGTTTATAAAAACATTTATATCTTATAATTTGTCAAATTTTTTAAAGTTGTTTTTATTATGATTATCTACCCAAAAAAAAGTTTGACGCGGGTTTAAATTAAACCCGCATTAAACTTTAATGTGACATTAAATGATACCCACACTCCATTCTAGAAATAGCATCTATTCTTTATACCTCTGAGGTGGTATATGTATAATATGGTATTGGTATAAGTATTGTAGCCACATGATGCTCTGTGTGGCTACAATACTTATACCGCTTAAGTATTGTAGCCACACAGAGCATCATGTTCAAAATAACAACTCGATGCCTCATTTTACTTATTTATTGAATTAGTTGTTAAAATCTATATCTAGTCGATAGCTAGTAACTGTTGTTAATACCAACATTTATTTAGCATGTTCAATTATTATATTCAATGCTTTTTATTTATTTTTTAATTTTGTATTTTAAGGTATAAAGAAATTCCTACCCATGATAATTTGTCTTTGAGGCATCATTTAAAGGTAATTAAAAAATAAAAAATAGACTTCTATTATAGTCAAAAAAATTCTGACTCTAGTCTAATATATATATATATATATATATATATATATATATATATATATATATATATATATATATATATATATATATATATATATATATATATATATATATATATATATATATATATATATATATATATATATATATATATATATAAAGAGAGAGAGAGAGAGAGAGAGAGAGAGAGAGAGAGAGAGAGAGAGAGAGATACCTACCTACATACATACATACATATATACTTTTTTTTTTAATGTTAGGAAGCTGTAACATGTTTTAGTTTGCCTATAGATGAAACAATCTTTTTTGCCATCACCTTATATTAATTCAAAAAGAATATACTTTTGTGTTATCATTCTGCATAATCAGAATGAGTTCTAATAAAAGCCTAAAGTATCTTATATTTGAGTTGTTAACAAATTTAGTAACAGATGGGTTTATTTTTTGTAGAAATAGATTATTTTCTTAAACAAATGAAAGATTTTTTTAATGTCTTTTTCAAATCCCAGCCAAGTATTATTAATTTTATATGTTAGAATTATATAAATTGGATATAAGGAATTGGATTTTTTAATTACATCTAAAAAGGCAATATGATTTTCTTGTTCTTTTTCTATCATAAATTTCAAATTTTTATGTTGTTAAGATAATTTGAGCTTCATATTCAGAATTAAAGATAGCTAACAGTATGTCATTGACATACCCTTGATAAAAAAATTGGTCCAGAAGAGGGACAAAAGTTAACCCATGTTTGTTCATGTAGTCCAATGATATAAGCTAAGATGAGAGCTAAAGGAGAATCCATTTTAATATCAATCCTATGATGTTTGGTGGCTTAAAGTACAGGTGTTTCACTTATTTGGTCAGTATAAATTTAAAGTAATTAAATTAAAGATTTACCTTGCATGTGTAAGACAAAGTTTCAATGTAACAGCATAAGAAAGATAAGCGGCCATTGAAACCACATAAACAGTAAGGTCGCTACTAACAGAACAGCAATAAAGTATCAATGGGTGTACAAGGATTAAATATTCCACTGGGATCAACCATCCTAATTCTCCTCTACAGTATTAGTAAAACCACATTTAAATTAAAATACTTTTTTTGGTTCCTGTATGGAGTGCTGTTATCATATTTGGGGTAGGTTTTCCAATGTTTTTTTAATGTTGCTTTTCGATACTATTACTACAAGGTTGAAAATGTATTTTATATTAAGCCCCTGTCTCATTAGCTTAAGCTTTTTATTCCTTAAACCAAAAATTAATCTCTTGTGACTTGTCATTTAGAAAAGTTGTATCCTTATACTCTATATGTCTCTTCATGCTCTAAAAACTTTTATTTAATAAGCAGTTTACAGTGCTTTAAGTCTTCTGTCAACTGTTTTCTTGCAGTTTTACATTTTCTTTGTTTTCTGATATTTTAGCAGCCTTGTTCATCAAAGTTCATGTTTCAGAGTTATTGAGTTGAGGGAGGGTTGTAATTACAACTTAAAGTAGCCTCCTTGACTGCAGTGGCCTTAATGGCTTTGGGAAGGTGATTTAAAATAAAAAAATAAAAAATAGTAGTTGCTAACAGCCAAATAAAAAATATAACTTTTAATCAAATGGAAAATATTGAAGCAGTGCAAGATCAAGTGTATTAAACATGATTCTAACTTATTCAAATGGGTTTTTTATATTTTTTATTGTATTCAATAGCAGTTGTTTTGCCAAAAAACATAAAACTCTATTACTTCTATTTAAAATATATGTATGTATGTATGCATGTATCCCTACTAGCAATTTGTGTAGCTGCACTGTAGCTGCGAAGTAGCACTGAGGTAACATACTGTAGCGGGTGTGCAGCAAATGACAGTCACGATCAATTCTCAATGTGCGGTAAAGCATAGTGCGTATTTTATCAAATAAGTTTTAATCTTGTATATATATATATATATATATATATATATATATATATATATATATATATATATATATATATATATATATATATATATATAATTTTTTAATTTTAAATGTTTGATAGAAATGAACTTTAAGCTAAAATAATATCCTGATATATATTGTTATATTTTATTTTCAAATTCAATTGATACTTTGAATAAAAACTTTTAATTTTATTGAATAAGTATTTTTGCAATTCGACAAAATTTAATTGTTGAAATTATAATTTAATGGCCACATTTTGAAAAGACTTTTAAAAAAACCATCAAAGTATCAGCTACGTGTGTGCACCCAAATTGCTATACTAACATTTGCTCCCTTACTGATACGTACCATTGCTAGTAGGGATGTATGTATGTATGTATGTATGTATGTATGTATGTATGTATGTATGTATGTATGTATGTATGTATGTATGTATGTATGTATGTATGTATGTATGTATGTATGTATGTAATTACATAGATTGTATGTATTACATATGGTAGTGGTGTAAGAGGTTCCGAGTTCCATCACCACACGTCCCTGGTAGTATCATGCTCAACTCATTTCTCTGTGCAGCGGCCTTGTTTGCCAAGGTTCAAGATTTAGAGTTATTGAGTTTAGAGAGGGTTATAACCTCAAATAATTAGCCTCCTCGTCTTTAGTGGCATTGAGGAGATCAATTAACAAAAAAAAAAAAAATGTTTGTATGTACATATACATAAGTGTGCATTTGTTATAATATGCTTTTTTTTTTGGATCAGCCACCAGCTAAACCTATACCTCATAATCGTATATATGCTTCAGCTCGTTATCAAAAGCTAGCAGTCTCAGAACCACTATGTAACAGAATCATTTTGTAAGTTTAAGTTAATTTTGTTTTTGCTAAGCATAATTTTAAACTTTTTTTAATTTATATTTAGTCTAGTTTTTTAAGAAGTATTTATTAAAAACTAGCTTCAGGCTTATTAAAGATTGTCTCAGTTTAGTAATTTTATGAATAATTTTAAAGTAAAATACAAAATTGCTTATAATGACATAATTATAAATATAATGACATAACTATGACGCAACAATCTTTAAAATCTTTTTGCATACTTATTTGCATACAACCCTGATTGAAATAAACTTTTTAAATTATATGATTTAAAAAGTAATTGAACTTTCATTTTTACTATTTACTTTTATTGATATTGCTAATTGCCTAATTTTAAACTCGCTTTTATGACAGAGTTTATCGAAATGGAGATGATCTTTATCCAGGGAAAAAGTTATTACTTGACAAAAGGTTGCTTGAAAATATGGATACTCTTTTGCAATACATTACAGACAAAATCAAGTTAACAACAGGAGCAGTACGAAGGTTTGAAATTTTGTAATCAAACATTTTCTAATTATATTTATATTTATTGTATTACTTTTAATAAAACTCAGCATGTTTATTTAATAGTTAGATTTTTAGAGGGTGTTTCTAATTGTCTTTTTAATGGGTGTGTCTAATTGAGCAGAGTGTTTAAAAAAGGAGGTTTTTTCATTCTTTTTTTTAACTCTGTTCATGTTTTTATCACTACGAGAAATTTTAAATTTTTATAATTGAGCTTTTAAGTAATACATAAAAAGGAGATTTTAATTCATTAAAAATTAATTGGTGCGAGTTGTTCTGAAGTTTATTTAGTAAAAAATTATTGACAAAAAAATTTTTTTTTCAATTAGTTTGAAATGCTTTTTTAAAAATGTTGTACATGATTTTTATTGATAGTAGTTGACAATTTATTTCACTTTTTTCTTTTAGTTTATAAGTGCTTTTTACAGGTCACATTTTTTCCTTATTTTTCAAGATCAATAGCCAAAAATATGACTACCAGTTCTAGTCATGGATGATAATGAAATAAAAGTATTAAATATAGGATTTTGACTTTGACAATGGAGTAGTAAAAGATGGCGTTTTAAACCTTGATGTAAAAATTTTTATTTAAATTTGTTTTATTTTTTAGTTTGCATACATTGGATGGGTCAGTAATTAAAGAGACAAGTCAGTTAGAGACAGGTGTAAAGTATGTGGCTGTTGGATACCAAAA